TGCAGCCGTCATTGTTGTTTGGCGGGTCCGGGCTGGGGATTCGAACCCGCCACCTTAGGTGTACGTGGCTAGCGCCTTAGCCGGTTGAGCTATAGGGGCTGAGCCAAAGATCTCTATTTTAAGATAGCTCAGATTTTCTCACCCTCAATCTTTGTGAAAAGATTACCCACCCCATGTTACATGTTTATAGGGCCTTAATTTCAGCTTGATGCCTCCTTAGCCTTCATCTAAGAGTAAAATTTGCTCTTAGATATAGACTGATTTTGTGCATGTGGAAGTAACAGGAGTTGGGACTAGCCAGTCACAGACTCTGCACAATGTTTCAGTGTTATGGTAGCTGAACTGCGGCTGGGCAGCCATAAACTAGAAGAAAGTTAGCTGTTCTTAGATCGCTATCCTTTTTTGTTTTAAAACCACAACAGCTCCTATCCTGGATCACAACATAAACGAAAGAGCTTAAAAAGAACAACATCCTATTGAGAACACAAAAGTTTAAAAGTTTAAGTTTAAAACAAACAAAATACCAAGACTGAAATACAGCAATTCCGGGATCCATTATAAAATGCATATTGAATAAAGGTAACCAATGTAACTTCAGACCATACTGTCAAATTCTCTGACATGGTTTAATCCTTCCAACAAATGCAAAGCACTCACCCACTCAGTAAATATTTTCTGAATATGTGTACCTATTGTGCAACAGGTGCTGGAAGAAATCTGAAGTTCTTTACTATAAGGTTGCTACCCATAAGCAACATGGGTTAGTGGAGAAGTGGAATCAGTTCTCGAGGAGAACAAGGGGCTTTAGAGTACAAGGAACTGGTAACGATATGAAAAGTATATAATTTCACAAAGCTTAGGTGGAAATAAAGCAGAGAAAAAGACATTAGCTAAAGGGGGTGTAGACAAGAGAAAGATACTATTTTAGGATGTATTCAACAAATTTTTATTAACGATGTTCTCTGTGTAATGCACTATTTTAGGTCCTGGCAATTAAACAGAGAATAAAATAGATAAAGCCCCTGGGTATTAGTTAGGGAACCAGCTAAGCCATCACAACAAACAAGTCCAAACAAATAGTAATTTTTATTTATTTATTTATTTTAGACACCCAAGCTAAAATACAGTGCTATCATCATAGCTGCAACCTTACTGCTACCTCACTACAACCTCAAAGTCCTGGGCTCAAGAGATCCTCCTGCCTCAGCCTCCCGAGTGGCTAGGATTACAGGTGCATGCTACCAAGCCTAGATAATTTTTTAATTGTTTTGAAGCAATGAGATCCACTATATTGCTCAGGCTGGTCTAAAACTCCTGGTCTCAAGTGATCCTCCTGCCTCTGCCTCCCGAAGTGCTATGATTACAGCCATGACTCACTGTGCCTGGCTAACTATGACTTATAAAAGAACGAAGCTTATATTCTCTCGTGTAATAGTCCAGAAATCTGTGGTTGATCCAAAGAAGGTGCCTCAGTTCCCTGCAATTAATCTGGGAATTAGGGTAATAGGACAGCTTTGTCTTCCTTAATAGTTGGCTTTTGTATCCAGTCCATGTATCTTTTTACTATTTGTCACAGAGCAGGAAGAGGGAAGAGGAAGTATGTGGCAAGCAGTTTCCCTTCTCGAGGACATGATCCACTTCTACTAAATCTCACAGGGCACAACTTTTTTATATGAAAAAGAGGCCCAGGAATGTCATCTCTAACTGGGTCACCAAGTTCCCTGCTTAAACTTTGGGTACAGAAGCATATTCTCTTACTAAGAAGAAAAAGGACAGAATGGAAAACAAAATGGGAATTTGAAGCACATATTCTAGAAAAAGACAGCTATAGGCAAGTAAAGAACAAATATATTTATGAAATTGTGGTAAATGTTATGAAGAAAAACAAAGCAGAGTGGTGAAGAGCTAATTTACATGTAGTAGGTGACAAGTGAGCAGAGGATGAGGCATGAGGATTTCTGGTGGAAGAAAGCAGAGGGAACAGCTAGGACAGGGGCCCTGAGGCAACAGCACGCTTGCCAGGTTCAAGGAACAGCAAAGTCATAGGGACAGAAGACAAATCAGGAGAGGGTGGTGAACTAAGTATTGCAAGAGAGAGAAATTAGTCAAAAGTGTCAAAAGCTCAAGGGTAAAGCTTTTGCCCTTGGAACTGACAGTATGGAGGTCATGAATGACCTTGACAAGTGGCAGTTTGGGTGGGCATAAGTAAGGTGACCAGATTTTAACATCGGTAAGGCGGGACCACATGGCCGAGGGGGGCGGGGCGGACCACAAGGCCGCGGGGAGCGGGGCGGGGCCGGGCCGGCAGGGGACCCGGCAGGGCAGGGCCTGACAACAATGCAAACTTTGATAAGCAGTTCTCGATAATCACTTCTCAGCAATTATTTGTTATTATTACAGTTTAAGATTATAAAATTAACAAAAATAATATAAAACTCATATTCTGGTGAAATAGCCACATGGCAGCCGAAAACCATATATTCCCTTCTTGTTCTCCAGCCCGTTCGTGCATTCTTTCCAAAAATTGGGACTTTTTTAAAACGCCTCGGGACGCGGGACAAATTGTTGAAAAGCGGGACGTCTGGTCACCCTAGGCATAAGACACTTGGAGTGAATTCAGGGGAAACAGGAGAAATATAATTAACGAGAGCAAGTACACTCCTCTCCTTTGAGGAGAAAATAAGAATGACTCAAGTGTGTGTTGTAGGTAAAGAACCGGTAGAAATGGAGAGGTTGAAGATACACAAAAGAGGAGAAAATTGATGGTGCAAGGTCTCAGATAAGGAGAAACATGCAGATTCCTCCCTCCACTGTCAGCAGAAGAATGGGAGTGAGTGAGTATGTGGGCAGAGGGGACGAGGAAGGCAGGAAGGAGGAGAGTGGGAGGCCATGGGAATTCCTATCTAATTACTTTTTCTTTCTAAGTAGGAGGTTATCTAGGTTTCTAACTAGGAAGTTATCTCCTGAGTGAGTGCTAAGGGAAAGGGTAGGAGTAAGTAAGGAAAGTCTTGTATTGATCTGAGGTTTGTGTGGAGATTTGGAGCCAAGGCCAAAACCATTGAGAAGATTGGCAAGATAGTGAAGTGATGAATCCTATGGTGTCTTCCCTCAGTAATACAGTGATTTCTTCAGTCTCTACTCTTCCTCTGGCAGCAATGAGAAGGCAGTAGTCTCCCCAAAGTCTCCCACTAAAACCATCTTCCTTGAAGATCATAGGACTAAGGTCATGATGCCGTTTATAGTAAGCACTACCACAAGCCCAAGACCACCCGCTTGTGAGCATGAACAGACAAGCAAAGACCGTCAGCCATCTGAACAAACCTCCATGTCAGACTTGTAACACCTGTGGCACCACCCGTCACTCAGTTTTGGAAGCCAGAAGCCCAGAGTCCTCTTTCCACGCACTCTCTAGGGCAATCATCGTGCTCTGTTCTGTTCGTGGCGCCTTCTAACCATTCCCCAGGCCACCTGCTTCTCCCTATCCATACACTCTCCATACCACTGGCAGCTTGGGTTTCCATCTTCCCTTATCCATATACTCCATCCCGCCACCTCTCTGAGGAACATATGATCATTCCACTCACCTGGCTAAAAACCTTCTATCACTTCGCCATTGCTTTTAGGAAAAAGTCCATCCAACCCACTAGGCTGGCTTCTAATGCCTTTCGAATCCAGCATCTCTGCCCACTCCTGCTCTGTTCACTCCTGCTCTGTTCTGCTCCATCTCTGTTCACTCCTCCATGCTCTACTGCTTCCCCACTGCCATGTCCTCGCTCCTGTCCAACCGCTCGCTGATCCCCAGCCCTGGAAGGCTTTTCTCTTGCAGCTCCCTCCGCCCTGTTCCCTTTCCCCGGCCACTCCCGCACTCTTCTCCGCTCAGCCTAGCGCTCCTCAAAGAAGCTTTGCTTGATCCCCGGACCCCAAGCGGGCGAGCCTCCTGGGTAGCTGTTAGTCCCAACAGTCTACCACTCCTATTGCCTGTGTCCTGCCGGGACCACCTCTTCTTATCTCAGTCCTGTATCTCCAGCGTTCTGGCAAGGTGCTGGGTACACAATAGGCACGTAGGTACTCAAGACAAATTTGTGGAATGAGCCATGAGTAAATACATCGTGAATCAAACACCTTGGATCTTCTAGTACATATCCTGTATTTAATTTTAATGGAAATTAAAACTGATCAGATTAGCTACTAAAATATGTTAACGTGCTTGAAAACGCCACTTTGAGGCTGGGACAAGCCGTCGGGGGCCGGCCCCAGGGGCGGGGCCTGCGGGGCGGGCTGGAGTGCTCCGGCGGAAGGCGGGGCCTCCTGGGCAGTGACCCCGCCTCGGGGCGGGGCTACTCCGTGAGAGGAGGGCGGGGCTCGCAGGGGGAACGCCCTTCCGAGGCCGAGGCGGGGTGGCGCGTTCCCGAAGCGTGGCGGAGGGGTAGTGGGTCCCAGCCCAGTCAGTGGTCCCGGTCACGGACCACGCCGCCACGGCAGCCATCTTGCCCGCGTCCTGGCTCCGGCGGCGGGAGGGGCTGCGCCCAGGCCGGAAGCGGCTGTGCCGCGGCTGAGCTGCCACCGCGGCCACCTCAGGTCGGTGAGTGCGGCCCGGCTGCGTCTCGGCTCTCTGGAGCGCCGCAGACCCCCGCGAGGGGCCTGAGAAAGTCTAGTTGAAAGACTCGGGCAGAGGCGGCTCTAGGAGGCTCAGCGGGCCGTCGCGTTCCGCACGGTGGGATGGTAACCGCGCCGATTGACCGCTCGGGCCTCGGCGGGAGCCCCGCGGCTGCGGGCGGCCCGAGGGCGCGCGGAGACCTGCCGGGGCGCTGGGGCCGCGGCGGGGTGGTGCGGAGCCGTGTCCCGGTCTCCGACGCCGGCCTCAGCCAGGTGTCTGCAGCGTGGGAGTCGCCCCCAGATGGGTGCTTTACTCGGAGTGACAACATGCCTTGTTTCCACTTGTCCCCTAGTAAATACTGTACTTAAATTGCCTACCTCCCGGTGAGCTCTGGTCTCTTCAAATATGAGTAATGAAAATTCCTTAGGAGGATGAATGAGGCGTCTCACGTATTCCTTGGGCTATGCTAAATTGCTTAGCAAATGACTGCTTTTGCAGGCCTTTTGTGTAACTTATATTTTAAGGGAAATTCGGTCACGTGCAGTGCCTCTCCTTGAAGATGGTGGTGGTGAGAATTTTCTTGAAACTGCTCTCATAATTTGCCACGGTAAGAAAAGTAGAAGACAACAACTTAAAAGCATGTGATTGGATACTTTGTACACTTAGTATTACTGTAATGTCCTGGACTTCACTGTCCAGTAGCCACGTGGGATCAAGAAGTGCTGTGAGTGTAAAATACCCATTGGATGTCTGAGACTTGGTACCCCAAAATGTAAAAAACTCACTAGTTTGCATTGATTACGTGTTGAAAACATAATATTTTTTATATCTTGGTTAAAATGTATTTTTAAATTTAATTTCATCTTTTTTTTTTTTTTTTTTACTTCTTAATGTGGCTGCTAGAAATTTTTAAATCATGGGGCTCACACTGTATTTCTTTTGGACAGCGCTGTTACACATTTTCCAGAGATGAACTTGGAATCAACATGCCTTTTACTGAGAAGCCATGGATGGGAAATAAGCACTTGTTAAACTTGAAGGTGAGACTCTGCATATAAGCTGTAATTATTGCAAACCCCATTCCCTTCTGCATTCAGTTTTTCAATGGCTCCAACATTGGAAAAAACTTTGACTTCCATGACTGATTAAGGGAATGGTGGTAATAATAGCATCTATGTGATGCAGGGGCCTTATTTCAGTGAATTGTCACAACTTTGTGAGATGGGAATAGGATAGCTTTTGTCTCAATTTTATGGTTTTGGAGCATTATAAGATTTGTTATAGTCTAAGCTAGTGAGTGGCTGTAGGATTTCTGACTCCAGGTTTTGCTCTATACCAGATTCCTAGGGATGAGTGTTTATTTGCAGGGATCCATCTATAGTATGTGTTAGATTGTGAATACTTTTCTTTTTTTTTTTTTTTTTTTTTTTTTTTTTTGAGACAGAACCTCAAGCTGTCCCCCTGGGTGGAGTGCCGTGGCATTACAGCTCACAGCAACCTCC